ACGACAGGATGCCATATAAGGAAGGGATGCATTTGAGAAGCTGTTTGGAGAAGCCATGAAACGGCCAGTTATTAATCCTGATCGGTATGAGGGGAAAATTCCATTGAGGGTGTATCTCACACATTTTGAATCCTGTCGGAGAGCTAACGGATGGTCGGATGAGAAAGCTGCAACCTTTCTCGCTGCTAGTTTAAAGGGACAGGCATTGGCTGTACTTGGTAATTTTCCAGATGGAAAATATAAGCTACAAGAATTAACGGAGGCGTTGGAATTGCGGTTAGGTACTGCGCAACAAGCTGAAATTTCCCTGATGGAATTGCGGATACGTAGGCAGAACGCAGGAGAGAGTATTCAACAGTTAGGCCAAGCAGTACGAACACTGGCCATGCGAGCTTATCCGGATCTTTCAGAGGACCAACGAGAGCGGTTGGCTAAAGGCTACTTTATGGAGGCTGTGGAAGACCCAGAAGTAAGAGAGGGAATTTTCAAGGCTAAGCCCAAGACACTAGATGACACTGTAGCAGCATCATTAAATATTTAGGGCTTTAAAAAACTCGAGTGGCAAAGGACACCAGCCAGATGGAATAAACATGTGCGTATGACACACGATCAGAAGGGAAAAAACGACCTATGAAAATGGAGCGGACATTAGTTGATGAAAGCGAAACAATGGCTAGACAGCCACCGCCAATTCCAGAGCCACGAGAAAGACTAGAATATAGGGCTGAAATAAGCATCGATAGACGACAGGCCACCAGGAGGAGAGAAGGCTGTTTCCGTTGTGGTATGCATGGACATATTGTACGAGAATGCAGGTACAACTGGACTCACTCGGGAAACGAAACACAACCCAACCAAGGGCCCGGGGGAAGGTTGTAAAGGGGAGAGGGCGTAGAAAACGGAAACGAGTAAGAGGACAGATAAAAAAGAAACTAACTGCACTGTCATATTTACCAGCATTGAGCCCAAAGGAGGGGCTATATATAAAAGCAGAAATTAACAGTATAGAGTCACACCTCTTGCTGGATACCGGGGCAACAGATACATTTCTCTCCACTTCTCTATTTAATCAGATACCTACGGAACACAGACCCGAAGTCCAGGCCCACGAGATGGGCGTACAACAGGCAGACGGTGGTATCCTCAACACTCTAGGACGGACCAGAGTACAATTACGAATTGGCCGAAGGACTCGTCAAGTGAGTGTTGGTAGCGGATATTCGTCCAGCAGGAATTATCGGAATGGATTTTCTTCTTGGAGTAGGAGCAAGGATCGACACCCTGGATATTCGGATCGGTGAAGAGGTAATAAGGTGTTCCAACCAGATAGGTGACCCGTTTGTGCCTAAAGTGTTAGTCACCAGGTCCATAAAGCTCTAATACGCTTACAACCTGTTGTAAGCGGATATGTTAACCAGGTAACTGGCCAAGTGGTCTGTGTATGGTAGAACCGCTCGACGTGAACGAATTGGCAGACAACGGATTGATCTTGGCCCGAGCGCTAGTGACGCCTGGGGCCAGAGAAATACCGCTAAGGCTGTACAACCCAGGCAATGCTGTGCGAGTATTGCAGGCAGGTACAAAAATTGGAACCCTTACGCCGGTGGTGGAAGTTCAGGGGCAGTTGCCACAGAAGGGCCATGACTCTTCCGATCAAGAAAGAATTCCTACTCACCTGTTTGAACTATATGCTGCAAGTTGCACAAAGGGGGACGCAGGACATACACACGATATAGCAAAGCTCCTATGCAAGTACCAGGATGTGTTCTCCAAAAGAGACCACGATTTAGGACGCACCAAGTGAAACACAGTATAGACACAGGAACAGCAGAACCCATAAAGGAAGCGCCGAGACGACACCCAGTGTGATTTCAGGAAGAGATCAAGAATCAAGTGAAGGACCTGCTGGGCAGAGGAATTATAGAGCATACTGAAAGCCCTTGGGCTCCGAATGTTGTCTTAGTCACCAAGAAAGACGGGTCAAAAAGGTTTTGTGTGGATTATCGGCGGCTCAATGGAGTGACCATTAAGGACGCATACCCTATCCCAAGGATAGACGACTCTCTGGATGCGCTTGCTGGTGCTGGTTGGTTTTCCACCTTGGACTTGGCGTCAGGATATTGGCAGGTGGAGCTAGATGAAGAGGCAAAGAAAAAGTCAGCATTCGTTGTAAGAGGGGGGCACTATAGTTGGCGTGTGATGCCCTTTGGGCTTTGCAATGCCCCCTCTACCTTTGAACGCCTGATGGAAAGAGTGTTGCGGGGCCTACAATGGGACACATTGCTAATATACTTAGATGACATCATCGTTTATGGAAAGGATGTTCCTGAGGCTATTACACGTCTGGCGACAGTTTTTGAACGACTTAGGGAAGCCGGGCTCAAACTAAAACCTAGCAAGTGTCAATTGTTTCAGACTGAAGTTCTGTATTTGGGACACCTAGTGTCAAAGGAAGGGATTCGGACAGATTGAAGCCATATGGGATTGGCCGCAACCACAGAATTTACGGGAGGTGCGGAGCTTTCTTGGCTGTGCATCGTACTATAGGCGATTCATTAAGGATTTTTTAAGCATTGCCCGTCCGATGTACAAGCTCACGGAAAAAGCCAGACAGTTCGAATTGGGTCTGGAACAGGAGCAAGCATTCCAAACCCCGAAGGACAGGTTGCAATCCTCCCCAATACTTGCATATCCAGAGGTAGAAGGAGAGTTTATCCTTGACACCGATGCAGCAAATATAGGGATCGGGGGAGTTTTGGCTCAGATTCAAGATGGACAGGAAAGGGTAATTGGCAACGCCAGTCGTACACTGGCTCGGGCTGAAAGGAATTATTTTGTAACCCGTCGGGAGTTGCTTGCAGTGGTAGTTTACTATTATTTATTTATTTTTTCTATATATGTATATAATATTATATCTGTCTCTTATACACATCTAGATGTGTATAAGAGACAGGGACCAACGAGAGCGGTTGGCTAAAGGCTACTTTATGGAGGCTGTGGAAGACCCAGAAGTAAGAGAGGGAATTTTCAAGGCTAAGCCCAAGACACTAGATGAAGCTGTAGCAGCA